ACAGATACCAAGTTCGTGAGAGGGATGTATGGTACATGATCATTTCACTGACTGGAAAAGCAAGTGCTATTTTCTTCAAGTTATCATTAACAAAGCCAGTACAGTTGACGTAACAGCCTCTTCATCAAGTTCTTTATCATCAGTTCAAAACTGAGGAAGACATTTAAAGCGTTGATTAGAAGGTTCTAAGTACACAAGGCTAGTCCAGTAGGTGCCCGATTCCTCTTCAGCGCTGCTCAACTGATCGGGTTTAAGTATTGGAAACTTATTTTGGATCCAATCAACTGAAACAGTCAATATGTACTGTCTCTAACTCGTTCAAATAAATACGAGTCACTCTCATGCAGATTCGCTAGCACAGTTTACGTAACTACTCGTTTCTCACCATGATGTATAAAGTGAAACGAACCACAGCTGGATTAGTCAATTGTGCGCATGTGTACCCAGAAAAGTCGTGAATCCAACAAGTCATCGCCCGGGGAATTAATAGCTTTGCGGGTTGTGAATGCACCTTTCATACATTTTTATCCACTTCAACTGTATCAAATTCTTCACATTTTTGCAAACAAATGCTTTAGTTCACATAGCTAGACCCAATTTACAGTCAATCAGGATGATGTTACCCAAAATGCATGCGAAAAAGTGCAGGTGGTGAGAAGGAACAACCAATAATTATAGTGCAACACAGACAAAGGCATTAGATGCTCTGAGCTGATGAGCACATAGTGCTACTGCATCTGAGTCACTAATTTAAGCACAGTGGTAATCCAGAGAATATTCAATGATCGGGTTCGATAGTTGGTTCATAAATTTATAAAATACTTGCTAGATCAGCCTCAACCTCGACTAAATCACTTGCACTAAGCCCTGTTTAGAACTCTTTCATGTGCCAAAATAGTGTCTCGCAGGAACCGATTGCATGACGACTTTATCTTTATGAGAGCCGCTTGCAAGAACATCACACACAGTATGCAGTGAGTCACAAATTGTCACTCGCTTTTACCTTTCCTCCGCTAGCTCTTCTGCGCCCACGTATCCTTCTCCTCAGACCACTATCTGAGCCCGTATTTTGAGAGCAAGTCAATTGTCCATTCATTTTATTTGACCATGCTCAGACGGATCGCGGAATCGCTATACTATTGCAGAGCTGAGAAATTCAAACTGGGTGTAAATCTTGTTTGGATCAGATGTTGAGTTAATCAGACTATCCAGCTATCGGCGCATGGCCGGTCAGAATGTTCTACATAAATACGCGTTGGCCCTCACGGTCGACCGGACATGGGATGGGAACTTGATCCCCTGTCGGAGGAAACGCATACAGATCCTGAAAAAGTCGTCTATTTGAGATTTTTCTCCGTTATTGAAACCCGTCCTGTGATTACAGAGTGACTGATGAGTTGTAGCTTTGAGACGACGATATCTACCCCGCTTTTTCCGTGGCTTTCGTCCTAATCGGGTCTGACGGTTTAGTCCCTCATTTTTTCTATATCCCTTTCAATGGTCCGTTCCCGGTTTGTGTTTTGTTGTGGTCTTCTTTCCTTGATTCTGCTTGGTTGTGCAAACAGAAGACCGGAACACCCCAAAACAGCCATCCAACAAACCAATGGAATAAGAGACATACTGACCACAACACAGCAAAACAAAATCACGATCGGTCCTACCATAATGCAACAGAAGGCATATACCAACTAGCCAATCACATGACAGGATATTAGATACTCTACAAAAAACTACATAAACGCAGCTAGGCACGGAGGAAGCACCCATTCAACTGCTCACTGACGATGTCTCCTCGACTGCGGACGAAACGTTTGTAAGCCAATTGCCAAGCTCGGAAAACAGATCAACTGCCATCCGATCAGCCACCAGTAAACACACCCGAGCTACATATATTTCGACAAATTGACAGCATGAACAGAAAAGCGTTTTCGTATTTTCATCCTTTCTGAGAAGAGCTTCCATCAGGCGGTGGCCAAAGGTGGTTAAGTTTGATTGGTAATCAGGCGGAGACTAAAGAGTCCTCTCTTCTTACGGGTCTCGCTCGGTAGGATTCATTCCTGCGGATTACTGACTAATGAAACGATCACATTGGTTCTTTCTAACAGCAAAATTAGCAGTACCTGAATGATCTTTTCTTCTTTGCTGGAGCTTGCTTTGTCCCTTTCATGTGGTCGAGGAAATAAATGGAACCAGATCATTCTGTTTTTTTTCATGGAGGAATTCATCATTACAATATCATACCCATCAATGTTGCGTAAGGCGCTTTATACTCAGTAGCCAGCCCAGATTTAGAGTTACTGTGGACTTTGGTGCACTTTCAGTCTTACCGCACACAAATACTTTGCTGAAAAAATAAATGGAATTCAAAGTCACTTGGTACTTGGGCCTAGAGGATAGGATGCGTCCCAACATCGTAACTTAATGTGGCATATGATATCCAACTACGTCCATCTTACTAACTTTGTGCCTGTAACGCGCTGTTTACGAAATTTACCGCGAACTTCAATGGATGAGCGTCAGGTGGAACTTGAAGAATCACCGGTTGATAACGTTAGAACAGACAGGTTCTGAATTCCGGAATAGCTTACAGATCTCCCAAGGTAAACAACACTTCTCGACATATTGAACGTCCCTATTTATGGTGTTGATGTCCCCATTATCGTTAGAAGTAACGAAACCAGTGCTGACACTGCTTCTTCTCTGCCGTATATTTGCAAACTTTATCTAACTATACCTATAGTGAAAAGAGGATGAGTGGTAAAGGGAGGAAACCTAGTCATCATCAACTGTAAAAACTGCATGCTTGTCGTACAAAAGTTATGCTGGCATATCGCAAGCATCCTGAAGTGCCGACGCCTCCAAACGCTCGACCAGACAATCCGGAAAGAAACTGACATTACGAACGCCACTGAAACAGATCAGCTGCCATTTCTCTCGGTGCCTCCAGTCAAGCACAAGAGGGGCACGGGAACCGAACTCTGGAAGGCGCACAGCTACAAAACACCTAAAGAATTTCGTGCTTTCAGCCAATTCATAGATTGTCCAGCTCACTGTTCGCACAATTCTGAAGAAGGCACGGAGAGCAACGCTAGTGTCGCTCTTGACTAGTGAACTTCTTGGTGTGATACTAATTGCAATATCGATTACAACTCATGAAGCGACATCCCCAGGTCTAGTTTGTCTGCGCGCCTTGGTGTTGACGTACGAAATAATGTTGAACCTATCTGGTGGGAGGTCCGAAATTTCCCATCAACCTTATAAGTCGCTATCCGCCCTGTTTTGCTAAAGACCTACGAGAGTTTTCCCCACCCCCGTTGTGTGACTGCACGGGAAACACAAATGGTTAGAGGCAGTGTCAGACATGGCCCAGCTACGCCCTCAGTGGGGCTCATGCATTCAAGGTTTTCACTTCAATGCATAACACCGCTCCCGATTTCCCAAATTAAAAGTCCTATAAAACCCCCGTATTTGCGGCATCAGCTATCATCTCCACTGGGTAGCTACTTAAGCCCAACTCCCCGAATCATCGGCGTACGAAACTATGGCAGCTATAACTACTGCATGGCGAATATCCGGTTTCTGGCAGCTGATAATGACTGAACCGCCTTGCTAGCCAGCATTCATTCACTTCAAAACAGCGTCTAGTGAGCACCATTTTGGTCCCAATCTGTTGCTTGTAGTGGTGTCCAGTAACATAATACCTACAAGTGAGAACTGCAGCAAAGGTCGTGAGCAAAATTCACCAGATTTATGCAGACGGTAATTTATTGCCGCCGTGCGCTGCTACAAAAAAGCCAGTAAGTCACCAGCTGCCATAAGCCGATCAGCACAACAACTACATGTGGGATTAAGGTGCCGTGCAAGGCTTTACTGAAAATGATCTATCCGGATCACGAAGTGGAATGGAATGTTAACTAGCGACGTACACCTTAAAACACTGCAGCCGCTGTTCTAAGTTGCAACAAGCAATCTGACATTCCGGAACATCTTCATGCTTCCGATGTGAAGAATCAGTCTTGGAGAACACAGGCTGCGGAATTTTCACATTCCATTTCTTTATCCTACCAGCGACATGTTAAGGACAACTTAGCAACTTAAATTGGACTACAACAACGAATCAGCATGTGTGAATCTTCACAGCAGACTATCTGCACTTGTCAAAGTCTTTTATGCCTGGCCGAAAGTCATTAATTATCATCCAGCGTTGAAGACTAATAATTCGGAGTGTTAGGTTGTAAACGATGTATCGAGTTCAAACTGGTGAATATGCTTTGCGGTCGATAAGACCGGCTTTCGGGCTTGGCTCCCAACTTCGATCAATTTTTCGGTCAGCTGACTCATAGAAACTCCAGTCTGTTATGCTGAAGTAAATTTCACTACAATAATAGACTAATAGACGATAAAAGAGGCGTAGATGTTGGGTGCATTCCGGTCCTCAAGGTGATTTGCCGAAAATTTCTAGGACTGAAACGCAAAAATTCGATTCGAAAGTGTATTCCCCCTTCCTTACTTGCTTTCGACTTTTCACCGGAATGCCGACAGCATTGGTGTCTACTCTAATCGGNCACTCTGAATGAAAACTTAACCCGAAGAGAGGATAGTAGCACTTAAACAATCCAGAAAATGGCCATTGGCAGGAATCCAGCAATATCACGGTTAGACTAGTATCATTTATTTTTGAAGAGCATGCTCACAAACATAAAAAGTGAGTGCAAGCGATGAATGCGAAAGAGTAACAGAAGAATATGGGAGAAAAGAGAGAAACGTCTCATTCGAGATCATGCCAAG